ATTTTTTAGGGTAAAATTAACCTGAGGGCCTCGTTTTCTGCCAACCCTTGCTTTCCGATGCAACGAATTTGCTTTCCACTGTCATCCGCAGCCCCATATCCCTCAAACAAAGCTTGATCCCAGCGCTCCCCACCACCGTCCACCCCCAGCACTGCCCCAAACACCACCCCCAAACCCATTTATTCTTCCTCTTCTGCCAGGGACCCCTCCAGTCCTTTACAAGAGAGCTTCCCCAAGCTGTGCTCAAGAGCTGCACCACCTCCATGCAAAATTAGGGCGCCCTGTGCAAGCCTGACCCAGCAGCAGCAGGTCTGCCCAGCAGTTTTCCCCACACTTTCAGGCTGAAAAAAGCAAAGAACAGGGATGCTCAGCCTCCAGATGCTTTAGCATAAGGGAAGGCTGGCATTAAGCTTGGTCCCTTTGCTGGGGCCTCTCTGTGCTCTGGGAGAGGTCTTCGCTATGGGAAAATAAAAATAACGTGTGTTTGCGTTCGCTTTGGGGTTTGCCTGGAGAAGAGCATCTCAGCAGAGGGCTCCAGGCGATGGCACTGCTGCTCCGCCAGCTCAAGCCCTGCTTTTCCCAGCAACCGACCTCACATACCGCTCCCATCCCGCCAGCTGCATCGATCCCGATGGCTCTTTGTTGTCCCCAGCTCTGTGCGAGCATCGCTTTGACATTCGGACATCTGAGAGGAACGTTGTCCTCACCTTTTGCTCCCATTCCCAATTATCTCACGCTTTTTGGGAGGCAGGGAGGGGAGAAAAGCAGGCAGCAGCCTGTGATGGTGCTGGCAGGAGACCTTCCTTTAGCACCAGTGGGGTTGGGGTCAGAGCATCCTGGGTTGTCACCGTGGAGCACATTGGTTTGGGAAGGCTTCATCTCGTGGTGGGATGTCATGGGGCTGCAATCCTCCATCCCGATGCAATCCTCCATCCCGATGCTGGGCGGGAAGCCACGAGCCGATCGCCGGCACCGCTGGCCATGCTGGGCCTGGGCAGAACCGCAGTCTCTATGCATGCTCTTCTCTTCATTTCATTTTTAGGAAAAAAAAAACAAACAGTAAAAATGGAGCAGATGAGAGGTTTCCGCGAGAGGGCACTAGCTGCAAGAGAAACTGCCTAAAAAGTCCGAGTAAACTGGAGCGGGGGCGGTAGCTTCCGCCACACATCCCACTGTCCCTTTCATGCAAGAAACTTTCCATTTTGGGGCAGTTAGGCTTTATTTATTTTTTTTTTTTTTTTCAGGATTTCATTCAGCTTTTGGAATAACGAAGGAAGCGCTGCTTTCCAGTTTGGTTAGCAGAGCCTCTCAAAGCCACCAGGACCTCTCTGGAAGCAATGCCTCTGCATAGGGGTGGCTGGAAAAGCTGATTCCTCTCTATTTCTTTATTCTTCCTTCCACCCCTCTCTGCTTGCCTTTCTTTAACACCCCTGGGGACGTCCCGCTGCGAGCACCGGGTGCCGTGCTCATCACCCTCCGGCTTGGCCAGCACGATGCACCAAGCTGAGCTGCAAGCTTCGACTGCCGAGGGGGATGCACATCTCCGTGGGGTCTCCTACCAAGCCAAAAAATCCTACTACTGACAGAAACTTGCTCTATGCCACGAACCTCAGTGCCCTGCATTGGCTTACCACAGCATTTTATTTCCTCCACGTGCGTGAGCTGCAAACCCCGTGGTCACGAGAGAAGCATGGGGAAGCTGCCAAAGCAGCTCAGCGGGGTCTTCAGACTCCTTCACCGCCCCATAAGCAAAGAGGAAACCCAGTGTCATGGCCGGGAGGTGAACCCTTAGAGCGAGAGGCTCTAACCTCCTCTCTTGCCTTCCTGTTTTGAGCAAGAGCGATTTCCACACCGTCACTGACACAGTTTCGCTCAGCTCTGGGGCAGAGCCTCGTTGCAGAAGGCTTTAACCAGCATCTTGGCAGTGGGCCAGGAGATGCCGTCGGCTGGGGATGTCCAAAGAGCCCAGGTATTTGCTCTGGGAGGGGCTGGGGATGGTTAACAGGGAGCACGCTCCCACGTCCCCAGCCAGCACAAGGCAAGGTGGCAGAGCCGTACCAGGAGGGGTGTCACCGGTGGGTCGGTTTCAGCATTAAGAGCTAAATTCATTAAGAAAATTAGACCATGGAGTATTGCGTTTTGACGGTGGGCCAAGAAGTCTGAGTATATTTTAATTCTGACAAATGAAGAGTAAAGACTCAACTTCCAGCAAAACCAGCCCTTTGCAAACAAGGAAAATCCTGGGTACCTGGGCGAACCGTGGCTGCTTGCTCCCGCAGACATCAGCCCAAACTTACCCTCGAATACAACAGATCTGGTGTATTTCCAGGATTATTGCAAATCTGAGAGATTTGGATGCTGTTCCTGGCATTGTCCGGGGCCGGTGCAGGATGAGCTTGGCCCCAAAATGGTGGTATCATCCAGCACCTCCGTCAGTGACCAAGTGGCCAAGCTAGCATCCAAGGAAATCACAGGGTTATTTACGTTATTCAGGAGCTTCCCATCAATTCAGGTACTAAAAGAAGAGGCCAGACTCAGAAAACAGCTGAGCATGTTGGAAAATCTGTCCTGCTGGCAAAGCCATCCAGGTTAAATTAATGGGAAAACTCCTGGACTTGAAAGGATCCTGATTTTTCCCTGGCACGTGGGATTGAAAAGCAATTTAAGATGTGACAACCAGCTGTTGTAGAAGCGTGAAGTAAATTTAATGTGATTTTTATTCAGCTCCTGGTGAATGGCATGAAAATCTCAGCAACTTGTTTGTGCCTTGTATGAATTTTAATGCAGTGACGGAAATGGATTCCAGTTCTGCCACCCCAGTAAGGCACCGTTTGTTTTGAAAGTAGTTTTCAAAGCAATACCAAGGCATTTCCAAGAAAGATTAGCAGAGATGTTGTGACAAGGCTTTATTTTCCCAGTCATTTCCATGTGCTGCCTGTGATCAGGGGTACCCTCTGGAAAAATGATTACAAGAGGTTTCCCTTTCTCATCTGCTTCAAAAGCTTTGCAGGGGAACAAAAGAATCATGATGGGGAAAATAAGATGTAATGCAGTGATATGGAACAATAGGAAAGTTAATTTAATGTGAAAGTTAAAGAAAAAGGCGGTAAAGGGTCAAGTTGAGCCTCTCCACACCCTTCCCGATCCCCTCAGTATCCTGATTTATATTAGCTCTGCCTGATCTGAGCAAAGGCTGTACCTAAATACATTATTTCCTTCCACCACATCAAAGCTCGTTTTACACCAGCCATCAAAGGGGACAAACGCCTCATTTTTAGGAGTTACACCCAGCAGCAAAGAAACAGTGGGCAGCTGATGGAAAATGATCATCCCTTTTCCCCAAACGATTTTTTTTTTATCGCTTCATTTTGATGAGGGCATAGGTTTCAACTCCAATAAACAAGAAGCTCTCTGGGATATTAATATTTTTTTGCATTCCTCAGCTTTGTTTTATGAACTCAAACCTGAGGTCCCATTTATATGGGTGTTTACTACAGCATGGTAGAATAATTAAAGGAAAATCCTTAAATCAAAGAGACTGGGGAGCTGTGAGGATGTGTAGGAGACCACAGAGACTGCAGCAAAGTGACCGGTGTGGTACGATGCGCTGAGGGTTGTCCACCCCGCTGTCCTTGCCTGTCAGGCTGTGTGTCCTTCTGCTGCCGCTCCAAAGCAAATCTTCCCCCCCTGGGATGACATCTGGGGGGGGTCAGCTGAGCCCCTTTCTGTCCACCCTGAACACCTCCATCCACCTCCTCTTGTTTTTGCCGGGAATAAGCAAGAACGATGGCTTCTGCCAGCAGCTCTGGAGGCAAAGATTGCCCTTTCTTAACCTGCCAAGGGGAAAAGAGACCCTGTGTGTATTTAACCTGAACTTTGTTTTTATTACTTTCTAGGCATGTCTGTGCATTTTCCTGTTTTTGCTTTGTTCTGCAAGATCGTCAGCCAAGTTTCTGTCCCCTCCCTGGCTCCTGGGCCAGCGGTTCTTGGTCTCCGCGTATTTTAATCCTCTACGGTGAAGACCTTCGCTATCTTTGAGCAATGTAAGAGTTTTTCCCCTCACTACATCTCCCACCACACTGCTCCCTCACTTGGAAATGCCTGAAATCCCCCACATTTGGGGGGGATGAAGAGTGGGAGTCCGCGATCCAGTGTAGAGTGTTTGTGGGGAATCAACCAGACAGAATGGGACATGGAGTGCGAAGATCCCAGGTGGTGGGATGGAGTAGAGGGTCCTTGGTCATATATGGGGCATCTGGGGGGATGGACCAGAGGGATCCCTGGTCCAACACAGGGTGTTTGGGGGTATGAATTGGGAGGGAGTTGTCCCTGGTGCAGTAGGGAGCATTTGGGCGATGGAGGGAAGGTCCTTGATCCAGCTGGGGCATCTGGGGGACGGAGCATCCCTGTGCAGGAGCCACTCAGCAGGCTGCAGCCTCTCTCCTCCCAATGTCCTTCTCATCAGGGTGGGACACATGAGGCATCTCAGTGGTCCTGCTCACACTGTCAGCACGGGGGCTTCCTCAGGGCCCCGTGGCCTTGTGCTGGGGCTGGCCAGGGTCACACCTCTGCCCCAAGCTGCCCCGTGGCATTGGCTACCTGCTAGGTGGGGAGAGCCTCCCATGCCAGGGAGGGAGATATTCCTGCAGAAGCTTCCCTGCCCAGCTCAGCATCCCCCATCTTAACAGGAGCATGATGCATTGCTGTGTCTCCTGAGACATGCTTTTAAATCTGTTAATCTCCTGTAATCGCATGCGTGTTAAAAGACACCTGTTCCCCCTGCAAAGCCACTGGAATACCAGGCGAGGGTTTGGGTGAGTGCAATAAAAGACGCAATTAGAAAGGCGGGCTTTGATCTCCAGGAGGTAAGGAGTTCAGGCAGCTGTGCTGAAACCTCTCCCGCAGTCGCTCTTCTACTTTGGTAACATCATAACAAAGAAGATCTTGTGTCCATGACGTGTCCTTACGGCCCTTCTTCCCAGCCTGCGGCCACCTGTCCTTCCCTGCCACCAAAGCGCGCTGCCTTCAGGGTCCCTTCCCCATCCCGGAGGGGCACGAATCAGATTTCACGGCCCCGACGCTTGCTGAGAGCTGCCGGGCTTTGCTCTCCATTGCTCAAAGTCCACGCTGCAATGGCCCCTTTGTTCCCGCAGCCCTGCCTGCCAACAGCTGGGTTCTCCATCCAGCTGTGCGCCGGGATGCGGGCGAGGGAGCGGGAAGGCAGCCGGGATGTGGGTCCCCGCACGGGACACCCTGTGCTCATCTCTGGGGACCCTGAGGGAGGGATGCTTCCCATTCTGCACAGGAGAGAAGAGCCCCGCCCCATCCGATCCGCATCCCACACAAGGATGCTGTCGGCTGAAGAGCTGGCCCAGAAGAGATCCGGGTGTAAAGCTTCTTCTGAGGTGCTTCTGTGGCACTGGAAGAGTAAATGTGTTGCTTCTTTCCTCATTGCTTTCCAAGAATGAGCTCAAATCTGTGTTCTATGAACAGGATCGAAAAGCCAGAAGATTGTACCCTGATATCCAGGGGCTGCAGAAACCTTTAGATCAGCCCCTGGCCATCTCTGGGTATGATAGGAGCAAGAGTGAGGTGCTGACACCTTGCTG